CAGGGAGGTCATCGCCACGTTCAGGGACTCCAGCGGCTCATCGTTCGACGCGCTGCGTCCGCACGAGCTGGGCGTGCTCGACGACGCTGGGATCGAGGCGCTCATCGACCTGCTGGTCGCCATCGAGCTGCAGTGCGACTGGCCCGCGTTCATCACCAAGATGGCCTTCATCCCCAAGTCGGACGGGGGGCTCCGCCCAATTGCGCTACTGGGGGCGGTGGTACGCATGCACGGCAGGCTCCGCAGGCGCATCGCGAAGGATTGGGAGGCGGCGCACGACAGAGACTACTGGTGGGCCAGCTCAGGCAAGAGCTGCGACAGGGCTGTGTGGCAGCAGCAGGCGCGGGCAGAATGGGTCCAGATGATGGGCAAGCTGAACAGAGGTCAGGACTGGGCCTCGGCGTCAATCATGATGGACCTGTGGAAGGCCTTCGAGCAGATCCTGCACGGCAACCTGCAGAAGGCGTGCATGCAGCACGATTTCCCGCTGTGGCTGGCCAAGCTGCAAATCTCCCTCTATCGACTTCCCAGGGTCATCAGCCTGGAGTCGTGCTGCTCTGATGAGCTTGTGGTTACGCAGACGGTGTTGGCTGGGGATGCCTTTGCCACCACGTTCATGAAGGTCATGCTTCTGACGCCGCTCGACGAGATGAAGGCGGCCTGCCCCACGGTGGTACTTGCTGTCGTGGTCGACGACGTGGTGCTGCAGCGCTGGGGTGGCCTGAAGCGAGTAGCCAAGGACCTCGCCATGGCCGCTAAGGCAGTGGCGAAGGGGCTGGCGAAGGTTCACCTGTCCATTGCCGCCAAGAAGTCGCGCGTGCTGGCCAGCAGCAGAGGCCTTAGGGCCACTCTCCAGAAGCACCTGGGTTCGACCACTGGAGCCATCGGAGTCAGGGAAGTGCGCAACCTCGGCATCGACTACACGGAGGGCGGCAGGCGGTCCAGCGTCGTCAGGCGGCACCGCATCACGCAGAACAGACTCCGCCTTCCTCGGATCCGACGGCTCCTGGGTCTACGCAGAGGAAGGGCCGCAGCGGCTAAGATCGTATCGACTGGGCTGGCTCCCAGCCTCTTCTACGGGATCAACTGCACGGGGCTCAACAATACGGAGCTGCAGCAGGCGCGTAGCATTGTGCGGCACGCAATTGAGCCGAACCCTCATGGGAAGTCGCTCACGGCGTGCTTGCTGGTAGGGGGCTCTCCCACCATCGACCCTCTCTTTGCAGCGACGCTGGCGCCCTGCTTCACGCTGGCGCGCGCTGCGTGGGAGAAGTGGGTGCCGCTGGCGCAGCTCAGGCCCGCATTCGAGTGGGCAGCGAGATCAGCTACATGCTGGGCCGACGTACGCGGGCCGCTTGGTGCAGTGGTCATGTCCCTGAGGAGGATCGGCTACGACCCCAAGGCGCTCGATTGCATCGTCAGGCCGAATGGTACGATCATCAACCTGCTGGAGGTCTCCCCGTGGTATGCCAAGCAGTGCATCACGGTGGACGTGAGGGCGTGGCAGATGAAGCTCTTGGCAGACGGCACGCACGCTGATGTTCGCAGTGGCATCTTCGTCTCGCAGCTGCGGCGGTGGTTTGCCAAGGGGGTTGGAAGTTCCAGCCTGGCCAAAGGCTGGGAGCCTCTCAACTGCAGCCAGCGAGGATACGCGCGCTCGGTCTTCGTCCTCGGGCAGTGGCCGAACAGCAGGAGGTACCACGGTGCTCCGCGACTCTCGCATACGCCGTGTTGCCAGCTGCATCCAGAGCAGCCTGGCACTCTCTGGCACAGGCACACCGCCTGCCAGGACAGCTGGCCGAGTTTGACGCTGCCAGCCGAGATCAGCAAGCTCGTTCCCTTCAGCACCAGCGTGACCATCACCACGCTCCTGGAGAGGCTGGTCCTGCCCGAGCCCCTCCACGAGTGGCGACCGCCTGGAGACGACCTCCTCGCGCACGTGCAGTGGCTCAAGGGCGGCGACGGATTCCCGTTTTCCAACACCACGGCCTACTCCGACGGAGCGGTCTACGACGCTGGGACATCGATGACGGTGGGGGCTTGCGGCATGGTGCAGCTGCCCGACGGCGGTGACGACTGGGATCCTGGACCTGAGTCGGCCGTTAAGGCGTTAGGCACTCCCTTGCCTGGGCCATTGCAGTCCATCGACGGGGCCGAGCTCTTGGGGTGCCTGGTGCTTCTTCGCCACAGCCTGCCCCCGATCACCGCGGCCTTCGACGCCACGTACGTGACCAAAGGCTTGACGGCGAGGGGCGAAGCCAGCACCACCAAGGCGACTTCTGCCTGGGGGTGCATCTGGAGGCGAGTCTGGACGGCACTTGACGACTTCGGCGGCATTGGGCCCCAGGGGCTCACGATTCAGAAGGTGAAGGCGCATGCCTCTGCGGCCATGGTCCAGAAAGGGGACATCACTGCCCGCGACAGGCGAGGCAACTGGGAGGCCGACCGTGCTGCAAAGGCAGTCGCAGCCGCAGTGAGGGCACCACTCGAGCTGCGTGAAGCCTGGCAGCGGCGGTCTCTTACGCTGGACGGGGTCGTGCACTGGGTCGCGCGCGCTGGGTGTGAGGCAGCTGACCTGAAGCTGGACATCGACCCGAACTGCAAGCCGATTCACAAAGGGCCGCCTCTCAGCGTCACCAGGCACGACGTGGTCAAGGTGGCTGGCGACGGTGTGCACTGCAGGGCCTGCCTCAAGACGGCCTACACTGACCTCAGCATCAAGAGGCTGCTCAAGGACCCATGCGTGGGCAAGACTTTCGCACCCGTGGCAAGCGGCGCGAGGCGCAAGCCAGCTGCTTCGGCCCTGGCGTCTGCAGGCGCGGTGGCGGTGGCGCCGGCAGCGGCGCACAGGCTTGAGCAGGAGGCCCAGAGCGCGCAGGACGACGAGTTCGTGGCGTCCTCCGAGCCAGAGACCCAGCAGATGGCGCCGAGCCCCTTCGCTGCCGCTCGAGAGCCTCCAGCTGAGGCAGCAGCGGCTGGCGGAGGCAGCAGCAGCAGCAACAGCGGCCAGGACCTCTCGCCCGGCGCTGCCCTCATGCGTGCTGTGGGCGCCGCCCGCGCCGCGCGCGAGCAGCCAGCTGAGGCGGCAGCGGCTGGCGGGGGCAGCAGCAGCAGCAGCAGCAGCGGCCAGGACCTCTCACCTGGAGCTGCCCTCATGCGTGCGGTGGCCGCCGCCCGCGCAGCGCGCGAGGCTCAGGGCGCCCTGCGCGCGGGCCCCGCTGACGGCCGGGCGGACGCGGGCACCGCGGCCGCCCAGGACGCCATGGAGGTGGACGAGCCTGGGGGATCAGGCACCCAGGATGCCGAAGGAGTGGGCCACGCGCTCCTCAGCATCAACGGCTTCAGGATCTGCACGCGCTGCAAGGCGTGCGCCAAGGAGATCAATGGCAAACACAGGACGCTCGGCAAGACGTGCGTCGCAGCCTCAGGCAATGCGCTGCGCCTGCGCAACCTGAAGGTCGCTAACATCAGGGCAGGCTTGGACCCAAAGACGGGCAAGCGCCTGAGTGATTGAGTTGGGGAGTGCCTTCGGTGGTCTGAGCCTTTTCAGGCTCGGCACGGGGTGGATGGTGGCTCGTGCGGCTGCCTCGCCTGACGGCGCATGCCCATGCAGCGCGGCGTGCGCGCTGCTTTCGGAGGCCGCTGTTTGCGGGCCTCCTCGCCGCATTTTGCGGCTTCGCCATCTTGGCGGCAGGATCGGTTCGTGCTGCACGGGCTGCCTTGTCATTAAAATGTGGCTCCAATCCGCAATGTTTTATGTACGTCTGTTCCTATAGAGTGGGCCTCTCCTGGGGCACGAATCCTCCTTAGGAGGCCCCAGGAGGCCACGCGAGGCTCCAGGAGGCCTCAGGAGGCCACTCGAAGCCCTAAGAGGCTTCAGGAGGCCCCAAGAGTTTCCTAGAGGCCCCAGGAAGCCCCACTAAGTTTCAGGAGGCCCCAGGAGGCCCCAGGCTCATGCGCAGAGACGCGCTCGTACTACTGAGACTCATTCACGCTCCAATTCATTCGCGCTTAGATTCATGACCAGACCGTCACAACTCAAGCCTGCTTATATTCGAAAACTCTCGCGCCTAGACACTCACGGCGGACAGGTCCATGCGAAAAAATGCACCTTTGGGGAGCTCCACGCAGTGAATAATTTCCTCGAGAGCGCAGATATTGTGTAACCTCCTATGGTTTATGGCCTCGGGGACGCGAACATTGTGCAATTAACGACGGTGTATGGCTTCGGGGACGCGAGAATGGTGCAATGTACACAGGTGTATGGCCTCGGGGGCGCAGGTCTTGCGTAATTTACTCAAGCTTATGGCGTCGGGGACGCAACTATTGTGTAAGCTACTAGGGTGGATGGCCTCGGAGACGCGAATGTCGCATACGTTACGGAAGTTAATGGCGTCGGGGGCGCAAGCATTGCGCACTTTACGAGGGTTGACGGCCTCGGGGACGCGAGCACCAGGTAATTTACGAGTGGTTATGGCTTCGGGGGCGCGAGCATCGCGTAATTCACTCGGGTTGATGGCCTCGGGGACGCGAAAATGGCGTACTCTACCGGGGAATATGGCCTCGGGGACGCGCATATCATGTACGTTTACATGTCCCACGCCCCCCCCCAAGAATTCTGAGATCCCCCCCGGAGAGTGGTAACAAATCCCGCTTGGGGCTGCCACCTCTCGCGCGGGCAGCCACAAGTAACAGTAAGGAAACAGAAAGCAGGACTGCAAGAGTGGAAACTGGAGGCTGCAACTGGAACAGGGAGCTGCAATCTTCACCCTCGCAGCCTGGTGGCCCCGCAAGGCGGCCGGCGGATTGCTCTTCTGAGTATTATCCTGTTATTAATGGTATTCCTATTATTATCATGTATTAGTATTAGTATTATTATTATTATTAGTAGTAGTATTCTTATTATTATCATTATTATCATTATTATCATTATTATTATTATTATTATTATTATTATTATTATTATGATTATCGTTATAATTCTCATCATTCTCTGCAAG